CAGTCCTTATGGACATATTATATTCATAGCTACTACTTTCTTTTCAGTACATAAGGATGTTATCTTAGGAACTAGGGAGTTTCCTTTTTTCTGCATAAAGATGAGAAGTGATATCACACAATTTGAAAATTATTTCCTAAAAATCATTGTGTTGCGGCCAGCAGGTGGTGTGATGGTTAAGGCACTGCATTCCCGCATGGCTGACTGCTATTTGAGTCCCAGACTGGTGGCTGGAAAGTCATTCAGGGTACATGTGCATGCCTGCTCAAAATCCTAGGAGGAGAATGGAGGAAAACATTGTGATGTGGCCATCCTTCCTGGGGGCTTGATTTCTCATTTTCCCTCTTTGTGGCTTTCTGTATCTCTGTTGAGTGAATGCACTATGACAAAAACAAACAGAAAATTGCCTAAGAAAAATGAAACTTAAATTTGGATCTGTCTTTGCATTCTTCTTAGTTTCTCTTTCATATTTGTCTAACGTGTTTTTTCTTTTGTCTTATTGCCCATTAAAAGATTTAAAACTTGATTCTTTTTTTTAAGAATTATTTATTTAATTTTCTTTATTCATTCACTTATTTTAATTTGATTCTTTTTTTTGGAAGTTTTTGCTATAGGGCGCGTGTACTCGCCAGAGACAGAAAGCAAGAAATCACCCCCCAGGGAGATGGCCATGCTGCGATCCCTTCTCCTCCATTCTCATCTCAGGATCTTGGGCATGCACACGTGCACCCTGCGTGAGTTTAAGCCACCAGGTCCAGGACTCGAACTGCAGCCAACTACATGGGAGTCCAGCGACATAGCCATTACACTAATTGCTGGTCCCAAAACTTGATTCTTCTAGATTTTCTCATGTAACATTTTCTCTGTTCCATAGTGCAAGGAATACATATGGTCAATCAGTTGATCATTGATCATTCCATAAATCTTATAAAGTTACTGTCCTCTCATTATGAAGATTACATTTATGCTTATATTTGCATATGTGTATATGTATTTTTTTTCTGTACCCTTGAGTTGAATGCCTGTGGAGCAGTTGCATTAGGTGTATGATGAGAAGGTAAATTCTTTTCACCTTTGATACTTTCTAGAAGTTCTTCCATTTGGTATATTGTAGTTTATGATATAGACTTTAACTCGCTCTGTAACCCGAGAGCGGTGTTTCTGGGTTAGTGTACAGCTGAGTGATACTCTTTCTGGAGTAGGAGGAAAAGCAGTCTTCCTTTAGATGATTTAGAAGATGCTGACACCAGCAGTTGGCATAATGACTATGTCGCTGGACTCCCATATAGTCGACTGCGGTTCAAGTCCTGGACCCGGTGGCTTAAACTTACACTGGGCACATATGCATGCATGCCCAAGATCCTGAGAGGAGAATGGAGGAGAAGGGATTGTGGCATGGCCATCCCCCCTGAGGGGTTATTTTTATCCAGAGGCATGAACACAAAGGTGGACCTTAACCTGGATGATTGGGACCAGCAGATGGTGTAATGGCTATGTTGCTGGACTCCCACATGACTGACTGCGGTTCAGTTCCTCGACACGGCGGCTTGAAACTTGCCAAGTGCGTGTGCGTGTATGCCTAAAATCCCAAGAGGAGAATGGAAGAACAGGGATTGTGGCTTGGCCCTTACCTCTAGTGGGCGATGTCTCACTTTCTGTCTCTCAGTCTCTCCCTCTCTGGTGAGTGCACACACGCTTTAGTCAAAAAAATAAACAGCTCTCTTAAAAAAAAGGGGGGGTAAGAAGAATCTGCATGATCACAGAACCTGGAATTTTGGCACCCTGAGGATATAGTAACTAGTTTGTCTCATTTGCCAAATCATGGAAATCTCCTGAGATGCAGCTTGGGGGGGGTGGGGGGCTGGGAAAATGCGGTTTTCAAAAGCACTTCAGGAGATTTTCTTGGTGTTGGTAGAAGCTGTGGGGCTCTGTTCCAGTCTTTTTGAGTCTTTAGGAAGTCACTAGATCACCTGGTTTCGCTCATACTAGCTGTACTAGGGGAGCCCCAAATGTGAGAGGGTTTGGCCATAATATTTACCAATTCCAAAGAATACACCCACAGGTCCAGCCAGGGAAAACATGAGTTAACATACATAGGACAGGATGTCCACTTATGGCCAGGGAGAGGGTGGTCCGTGCCATCATGAGCACGGGCTCAGGCCATATATGTTCAGAGGACACAGGTCACCTGTAAAGTCAGCACAGATTCCTTTTCTCCAAGGCAGGGGCCTAGTTCCTGCATACATAGTTTGAGGGTGACAGTAAAAGGTCAGTTTATCGATTCGCAGAGTTGCTAGAGCTTGTACATTAATTTAGTGCCTCTGATCTTGGGATATTGATGTGGGAGAGGAGTGCTTACCTCTAGAACAGCCTTAGCCACGAGCCAGTTCTGTGAGTTAAGGGAATGGTCACGAGATGTTCATGAGGTCCAGCCAGACCTGCAGCTGCTTCTCAAGGAGATAAGGTGAAGAGGGAGAGGGAAAAGAGCTCAATATAGGGAACCTACTCTTGCTGGCCCTTATACATAAGGGACCATACACTTGACCATACACTTTCAGGAGGTCACTAGTTGATGAAAACAGATTAGGATGACACAGAGATGCCAGGAGATAAGCTTTCCCATAGTCAGTCATTGGTGTGGTAAAGAGACACATTCTCCATGGTTAGGGTTATTGAGACTAAAATTTTGTGTAGCATTCTAGCTGGTAGCATAAAACAGAAATCCCAAGTTTGGTGACCTTGTGGCTTTGCAGGATATTCCTGATATTCTGCTTACATTATCTCCCAGTTAACTATCGCACCATACTATTTGAATTGAGAAGGGATCTTTCATTTTCCTCTGCTATGTTCTTTTAGCCTTTTGTAGTTTTCTCCACAGAGGGATACAGGGTCCTTTTAATCCTAAATGGAAATACTTTGTATGTGGGAGGTCTCCAGGCAACTCTGAACAACTGCTAAGGCTGCTGAGAGGTCATGAAGTACTTTGCTGGATTGTCTGTCTCTAAAAACAAGCTTCTTGCTCTTGCTTGAGCTCTAAAACTATTTCCTCGTTCTCTCTCTCTCACTATCGCACCATACTATTTGAATTGAGAAGGGATCTTTCATTTTCCTCTGCTATGTTCTTTTAGCCTTTTGTAGTTTTCTCCACAGAGGGATACAGGGTCCTTTTAATCCTAAATGGAAATACTTTGTATGTGGGAGGTCTCCAGGCAACTCTGAACAACTGCTAAGGCTGCTGAGAGGTCATGAAGTACTTTGCTGGATTGTCTGTCTCTAAAAACAAGCTTCTTGCTCTTGCTTGAGCTCTAAAACTATTTCCTCGTTCTTTCTCTCTCTCTCTCTCTCTCTCTCTCTCTCTCTCTCCTGCTGCTGCTGCTGTTGTGAGGGCTCACCCACCTCCTGGTTCCATGCTACCTGTCTATCCCTTAGACTTAGTACTAGTACTTAGACCCCTGTGTTTTTTAGTATGCAAGACTGTAAACATTCTACCCTCTGCCACGCCTTTGAAAGGGATTCCCACCATCTTCATTTTTCTTTATCCTCAATACTATTCTAGGCTCTTAGATACATAGTTTGTGTCCATAACTCTTCTCTTCCTGGAACCACAGGAATTGTCCATAGGGCCACCCAGTGGCATGATAGTTAAAGTGGTTGGATCCCACATGACCACCTGTGCGGTTCAAGTCCTGAACCTGGTGGCTTAAAAAACACTCCAGGCACTTGTGCTTGCATTCCCAAGATCCTGAGAGGAGAATGGAGAAAGGATTGCAGTGTGGCCGTCCCATTCCCCGTGCCTCTCCTACCTCCCATGGGAGGGTCCTTTCTCACTTTTCCTCCTCTCTCTCTCTGGGAAACACACATAAATGGTAACTATTTCCTCTCTTTTATCACTTACATCTAAGTGATCACCAAGTTTTGTCACTTATTTATTTGAACTGTTGCTGCCTCTCTTTTTTTTGGTTCCTAAATTGACCACCTTCTATTTTATGATCTTCTATTTGTACTGAACTCTTTCTCCCTTTGCTTGCCACACTAATCTTGCTAATTTTTCTTAACACAATGGGAGTAACTACTACCGTTTTCATTGGACTGTTGTGAAGATTAGACACATAATGTATTATAAAGTGTTTATCATATTTCCTGGCACAAAATCAGTTTTCAGTGCATGGTAGCATACTGTATTTCTTCTAAAAAAATTTCTTTATTATTATTATTATTAATTTTGACCAGAGAAAGAAAGAAAGGGAAAGTGAGGAAGCAAGCTGCTAGGTCCAGGACCCAGACTGCAGTGACCCATGTGGAAATCCAGCTCCTTAACCACCATGCCACCTGCCAGCCCCCTTCCATACTATATTTCTTACCTCTTAAAAAATATGATTGTATTTCACTTCAACCTCTGGGTCTACACCATAGAAGCAGCAAAATCTGTGTCCAAAAATATGGGTTATAGTGCCCTGGGAACTTTGGTTTAAGTCCCCAAACTCCTGCTTATGAGTTACTGTCCTTTAAGAGAATAGGTCAGTTGGGAACCAGCAGTTAGTGTAATGGCTATGTCGCTGGACTCCCACATAGTCGACCGCGGTTCGCGTCCTGGACCCAGTGGCTTAAACTCATGCTGGGCGCGTGTGCGTGTGTACCCAAGATCCCGAGAGGAGAATGGAGAAGGGATTGCGGCATGACCATCCCCCCGGGGGGTGATTTCTCGCTTTCTGTCTCTCTGTCTCTCTCTGTCTGGCGAGCGCACGCGCCCTATAGCGAAAACCTCTCAAAAAAAAAAAAAAGAGAGAGAGAATAGGTCAGTTTAGTTACTGACCTTTAGGGTTGTTAAGAGTATGAAATGAGATAATGTTTATGGAGAGAATGTGCTCGTAGTAGCCAGGTGCTATGCAAACATCCCTAGGTTTTTTTTTTTCCTGTTCTGTTACCACATATCACATTCTTAAATCCTGTAGTGTTAAACTTATGTGGTTTAAGAAGTTTGAAGCAAGTGTAGTGACTTTTATTTCTTTTCTTTTTGCAGGTTAAACCCAACCACAGTAATGGCCGCGGCCTTACCCAGGACCCTGGGGGAGTTGCAGTTATATAGAATATTACAAAAAGCCAATCTACTTTCTTATTTTGATGCCTTTATCCAACAAGGTGGTGATGATGTCCAGCAACTCTGTGAAGCTGGAGAAGAGGAATTTTTGGAAATCATGGCACTTGTGGGCATGGCTAGTAAACCCCTTCACGTTAGAAGGCTACAGAAGGCTTTGAGAGACTGGGTTACAAACCCTGGCCTTTTTAATCAGCCACTGACTTCCCTCCCTGTCAGTAGCATACCCATCTATAAATTGCCAGAAGGATCTCCAACGTGGCTAGGAATAACATGCAGTAGCTATGAAAGAAATAGCAATGCCCGGGAACCTCATTTAAAAATCCCCAAATGTGCTGCCACCACCTGTGTGCAGAGCTTGGGACAGGGGAAGTCAGATGTGGTGGGGAGCTTAGCACTGCAGAGTGCTGGTGAGTCCAGACTCTGGCAAGGCCACCATGCCACTGAGAGCGAGCACAGTCTCTCCCCAGCAGACCTTGGCTCCCCAGCCTCCCCAAAGGAGAGCAGTGAGGCGCTGGATGCTGCCGCTGCGCTGTCTGTGGCTGAGTGTGTGGAGCGAATGGCCCCCACGCTGCCAAAAAGTGACTTGAATGAAGTGAAAGAACTGCTAAAATCCAACAAGAAGTTGGCCAAAATGATTGGTCACATCTTTGAGATGAGTGATGACGATCCGCACAAAGAGGAGGAAATTAGAAAATACAGTGCAATATATGGCAGATTTGACTCGAAGAGGAAGGATGGCAAACATCTCACACTTCACGAGGTAAAAAGCCCAAGTTTTTCTTGCTTTATGTGTATGTGGTATGTTTCTTGTCCGTAGAGGTAAGTTGGTGGTAGCTTGCAACAAAGGAGATAGACTCCTTGAGAGCAAGGTTAAAAACATTTCAGTGTTACCAAAATATAACTCTTTTATGAAAATTGACCATTGTGTTAGGGCTGTATTTGTTGAATTGAAACATGTTGAAACTTTGGAACTACAATGTAAGGTGACTTTTATAAAAATGTCAGAATTTAAGTAGTGAAAGCATAAAGCGTTTACACTCGTAAGTCAGTTTTTGAATTAAGAAATAAAATAGGATTTTAAATATAACCATTCATTTAAAATTTTTTTCTGTAGCCATTTTTTAGAAAAATCATTTTTTAAAATAACCAGAAGCAATTTTCTGTTAGCATAGAAAACAAAATTATCATAGTTGAATGTTGGAAGAATTATTACAGCTTTGAACATTTTCCCATGTTACCATTTTAGCATTTAGGTTTGACATTTGGCATTAAAAATTCTTGTTTTTTAATAGCACTCTATCCAGAAATATTCTGCTTAAGAGTGTGTGTGTGTGTGTGTGTGTGTGTTGTGTGTGTGTGTGTGTTTTAATAAACTCTCTTTTTTTTTTGTTTATCTGGCAAATAATTCAGCTCCAGCACAGGCTCAAGTCTTTTCTACTGTCCTTCTCCCAAGTAAAATGATCTATTCTTTCCTTTTCATTTTTATCCCCAAATATACTTCTGTCATTGTAACCTTAATGTCAATACTTTATTGTATACTGGTCTGTTCCTTGTATATTTTGGATTTCTCCAAGACAGAGACATGCTTCATTGATCTTTACCCAGTGTCTTAACGCACACAAAGCTGGGAAAATAAATGGCTAAAAAGACTTTTATGGCTCATTTTTTAAGTTGCTATGCATTCTTTAGAAGAAAGAAATGAATTCTTTGAAAAAATATTTAGATTGAATATAGTACTTCATGTTCAACATCAAGTCTTTCCTTCTAGAGTTGATCTTTAACAGGAAAAGAATATATCTTCATTGCAAAAGTACTCAATCATTACAAAAAAGATATAAAATAATTGAATCTGTAAACTTTCAGATGCTTTTCTTTACATATACAAATATGGAATCTTTTTTCCAGCATTGTTCTAAATTTTCCCCTCTTTTTTTTTTAATTCAAATTATAATATGCTGTTAGGTATCTTTTCAAGTCTATACATGTAGAGCTACCTGATTCATTTATGAGTTGCATTATATTCCACAGTATGAAAGTGCCATTATTTATCTTAACCATTGACTCTTTGGTATCATTTAACAAGTTGTTTCCAGTTTTTGATATTATGTATGATATATGAACATTATTATCATACGCATTTTTACTGACTTCTGCATGTTTTTCTATAAAATGGATTCCAACATGTAAAACTATGGAATCAAGAAATATGTATATTTAATATTTCAGTAGATACTGCTAAATTGCCTTCTAAAAAAGCTGTAATGACTTACGCTTCTGCTATCATATTTACACAAGTGTCTGTTTCTCTCCATTCTTGCTAATAATGCCTTTTACATTCTTTTTAATCTTTGCTGGTGTAATAGATGAAAAATTTCTCATTACTAAAATTTACTTTCCCTAGTAAGGATGATTATCTTTTTATGTGTTTAACAAACATCTACTTTTTTTTTTTTTTCCATTACATCTTTTTTTTTTTTTTTTATTTTTTTTTTTATTTTTCTTCCAAGAGTGAGCAAGAGACAGCACGCCCAACAGGGTCTTGAGGCTTTCA